AAGAAGCAAACCATACCAAAGCGTTCACCAACGACCAGCCATGTCGATGACAATAATAATATAATACAAAATCATTGAGATATACCTTACGGTGCAACTGTGCATACTCTTTTAGGGTGTCATCATCATCAGCATTGCCTCTCTCACCCTGGATCAGGGTATAGGCCATGGACAAACACTCTATACTTTTCCTTGACCAGAGCTAGCTTCGTGATATTTCATATGTCGTTTGTAGTATACCACTGTTTAATTTAGCCCAAACGGAAAAGAAGATTGTAGTTATAGTGAAAAACTTAACGCCTTACGCACAGCGTGTTTGTTTCGTAGATAGCAAGTGACCTCACGTTAACATAACATATTTTCATGTTGTCACGGCAGCATGCTTCCATACCAACTCTTGTCCTAATGCCACGTGACCACATGCTAACACTCGCCTGACAACGTATAACAGTAATAAACACTCCCGGGATCATTCATTACCTTGTCAACACTCAAGTATTCTCGTGCTCTGTAATAGTCCTAATTACACCCATGACCTTCTGTAACCATGCCAACATATCATACAAAAGAGCACTCACGCCAACACCCATCACCATTGCAACACTCATATGTGCTCATGTGACAACCCTTCACTATGAAAACACTCGCCTGTGATCACGTGACAACCTAACACTCACTTATCCTCACGTGAAAATCAGTCACCTTGACAACACTCACCTGTGCTCACGTGACAATCTGTCACCATGACAACACTCACCTGTACTCACGTGACAACCTAACACTCACCTGTGCTCAGGTGAAAATCCGTCATCATGACAACACCCATCTGTGCTCACGTGACAGCCTAACACTCACCTGTGCTCACGTGACAATCCATCACCATGACAACACCCACCTGTGCTCACGTGATAACCTAACACTCACCTGTGCTCACATGATAATCCGTCACCATGACAACACGCACCTGTGCTGACGTGACAACCTGTCACTATGGTTATAACACTCACCTGTGCTCGCACGCCCAGCCATTGCCACAGATCATGCCGTTAATGGTAACGCTCTTTGTGCTCATGTCGCCATTATGGGGCGGCCCCTCCCACTCGTTGGCGCGGTTATACTCGTAGCTGCTCATGACGCGAGGGAAGCCATACGGGTGAGCCAGCATGAAGGCTGTGGCCAGCTGGATAAGGGATGTTGGATGATACAATACTTTTTTAGAATAGTTCAAGGGATTGGGGTTGAACGAGATTGGGTCAAGATGAAGGTAGTGGCTAGCTGGTGAAGGGGTGTTGGATGATATGAGTCTTTTTTAGAATAGTTCAAGAGATTTGGGTTGAATGGGGCTGGAGGGGGGAGGTCAAGGCGAAGGATGTGGCAAGCTGGTGAAGGAGTGTTGGGTGATATGAGACTTTTTAGAATAGTTCAAGGGATTCTGGGGGGTAGATGGAGGGTGAGGATTGAAAGGGATTGGGAGGGGGGGGGTCGAGATGAAGGCTGTGTTTACATACTAACTGGTGAAGGGATGCGTTGAATGATATAAGTCTCTTGAAAATGGTTCAAGGGATTGGGGTGGGTAGATGGAGGCCGAGGATTGAAAGGGGTGGGAGGGGGGAGGGGACGGTGTCGCCATGAAATCCGTGTCCAGCTGATGGGGTGTTGGGTAATATAAATCTTGAAAACCGGTTTAAGGGTTTTGGGGGGTGAAGTTTGAAAGGGGATCGATAGGGGGAAGTGGAGGGAGGGCGAAA